CCGCTGGCCTGAACACAAGCCCAGCCACAAGTAAGATGTTGAAGCAGGTCTGGGCATTTCATAGTGTATGAAGAAGAGTGTCCCTCTAAGGACAGGAGCAGTGAGGTGAAAATTTTGTGTCCTATGCTGTCTCTGCTTCCCAGAACTATGTGTAGCATTGGCAGGGACTTATGGATAGTATCTGAGTTGTGAGACGTGGCTCCCCTAAAACAGAGCACTGCTGTGCCAGCAACATCAGCCAAACATCTAGCACCAGCATGCCTAATTGCAGCCTGGATGGGTTCCTGCTGTCTCAGAGCTGTGCCACAGGGCGACTCTTTCCTCTTGTCCTACTGTTATTTTGGGTATGGTGGAGATAGTGCTGGATGAGAGTGTGGTACAGTTTCTTCTTTGCCCTATGGGCAGTAACCTCACTTGCAAAGGAGCTATCAGCTGACCTGTCTCTTTGACTGCTCGTAGGTTTCCTCAGGAGGTTCAGAGGAAACATCTCTTGAGGTCTCTTGGTTGATGTGTCTGTTCTGAGACCAGCCACAATCTTGGTCAAAGCTCTGTATGTCCAGGTACTGTACAAATGTACACCTAATTATCTCTTTTCTTATAACAGGGAGGGATATTCAGAAAAATGTGTTATGAACAACTACTTTGGAATTGGGTTAGATGCAAAAATTTCACTAGAGTTTAATAACAAGCGAGAAGAGCACCCCGAAAAGTGCAGGTAATGTAATTGTCAGCGACAGAGCCAAGGCATTTATGTTACTTTGTTTTCCTTATCTATTTATTCTTTATTTTTTCCTCATTGTACAAATACAAGACATAATAATGTATGTATTTCAATACGTGAATCTTGTTGTACCTATTTTCAGAAGTCGGACGAAAAACATGATGTGGTACGGAGTTCTTGGCACAAAAGAGCTACTGCAGAGAACTTACAAGAACTTAGAGCAAAAAGTTCAACTTGAGGTAAATTTCTTGTGTAGATAATGTTTCATAATGTTCACTGCATTAAAGGAGGAGACCAGGTTTTAAGGACAATAACAGAAATGAACATATACTAAACAGAGGGCAAGTGATAAGGAGTCTTAATCCTTCAGGTTCGTTTTAAACTATCTGAAAGCTTGATTGCGCGTACAGAGGGAGCACACAGATGATATTAGATGTCAGAAACTTCTGACAGAAGAAGGGAAGTTCTGAATGTGCATCATAAGAAGCCCAGCTACACCAGTAGAGACTTTCTCTAATAGGTGTTTGAGACAGTCACACAAAAGAAGCAAAGTATTATCACAGCAACGACAAATACAGCGTAAATGACCTAAACATTGTTATTTTTTGTCTTTTAAGTTCTAACTTCAAATCTAAGTCTTCTTCACGATGCGGAGAACTTAAAGGAGAAATAAATGATTACCAAATGCAGAAAAAGACTATGGGATGGTTACAGTTATTTTCACCCAAAGAATATCTAGGCTGGATTTTGACAGAGAACGTACCTAATTTCTCTTTTTACTTCATGCTGAGTGTTTCATATGGAAGTTCATGATATTTATATGAAGATAACTTTTTAAGTTGAAAGAATCATTTTAAGTTACTGAAACTCTTTCTCACTCCTCTGAGATTTAGGAGGATTTTGTCTGGTATCAGCAGATTGCTGTTAACTAAGGATTGAGCAATTATCAAGGAATTATGCGGTAGTTAGTGAATATAATGACAGGAAAGAACATTATGTATGCTGCAGATAGAATTCTAATTTAAGAATCTTTTGAATAAGATTCAAACAAGATTTAATAAGGCATTCAAATCTGACCTTTCCATAATTATTTTTGAATATTTCTGGAAGTAAACCAGCAAGTAGAAATTTCATATTTAATATTGCCTTGCATAATATTAGCCTTATGCTAAAACATGTGATGAGGTGCATGGCATTGGAAAATTAAAAATATAAATTTCAGGAATTGGAGTCAGACCTCTACTACAATACACATGGCTGTGCAGCACCTATTAATATCACAGCCTATTTTGGATACTGTCACATTTTGATTAAAATGTTAAATTCTATCTTGAGATTAAATCATAAAGAGAGAGCGCTAAGCACATGCCGGAAATAATTTTGCATCTCTTTCTCCTCCTGATAATATTCCTACAGATTTTGTCCTTATTTCTGGAGGATTTCTATTTCATTTGTTTAATTTTAAGATCCTTCTGTGGGACTGGTAACTTGTGGTCATCTAGCACTCTTCTTTAAAGGCAACTTTAACTGCAAATTCACGATCCCCAAAGTGACATCTGAATCCAGCATTTTTGACCTTTTATTGCTAATTTGCTTCAAATCCATGCTTGTGGGAGGACTGCACTTTTGACTCGTGGTTGAATGGTCTGGGATCATTGAGCTCACCTCTGCAGGAAGTTGTACTGCTGTCAGTCAAGGGTGATTTCACTGAAGTCTGTGAGTTTGCTCTTGGGCATAAGTAGAGTGAGATTGACCTGTGTCGTCCCATGATCATGTTGAATAGGACTCGAGGTTGCTTATGGGTTTTGGAGGATAAAGTGGTAAGAAAGAGGGAATAAATAAATGGTCAGTCATAGGAGCAACCTCTTGTCTGCAAAATCAACAGTTCCTCGCCAGGGTAACAACTGTGGGATCAGTCCTAGATTCACCTTTGCATTTTTGGGAGGAGAATGAGTTATTTTTACAGGAAGGCAAGTATGCAAGTGCTAAAATACTTATATTTAACTGTATGTTTGTGAGTATGCCAGAAATATTCTTGGATTTTTTTGATATTGTTTTTCCCCAGCTTAATAGACTCAACTAAATGTGAAATTGTGAAAATGTTTCTTTGAAGAGTCATGGAACCTCTGCTGTAGATACTGGTAGTTTTTCAGCTCTGTAAAAACTGGTGCTAAGATTAGGGAGAAGAGGTTTGTATTAGAGCTGCTTCACAGCATGGATGGAATAGGCTTATGTCAAACCTATTAATGACTTTGTCCTCCCCTGCCAGCTCTGTGGAAGCTTCGTGTGTTAAAAATGGCTGATTACTTTTATCACATTATTTATATACTGAATAAGCTTTTATCCATTACAGTGTGACGGACAGTACATCCCCCTTCCAAGTCTGCAGGGCATTGCTGTGCTAAACATTCCTAGCTATGCTGGTGGGACTAATTTCTGGGGTGGAACCAAAGAAGATGATGTGAGTAACATTAAAGAGAAGAAACTTTCTGGATGTAACCAGCAATAAATACCATCAGCTGCTCTTCTCATATAATTTTAATAGTAGTAGCGTATAGTTTGGATAGCAGCTCTTATTCAGGGAGGCTGTTTGAGTTTAAATGTATTGTCTTGTATTTGATTTTTTTATTGAAAAGATATCCCATGATTTTTCATTGTCTATAGTTTTCTGTCAGGTCCATTCCAGCAAAATGTTCCTAAGAAGGCTGAATGATTTTTTTGAAAATGGTTCTATGAGATAGTACTTCTAGAAACTAATTTTATAAAGAGACACAAACAGTTCCTCTCTCTATTGTTTTACAAACTCCCGTAAATAATATTTCTTAACGCATAGATTCCTCTGTTTGCTATTTGCTATCTTCTAACAATAGACAAGGTGGACAAGGATAATAACTCATGGTTTATATCTGAATTTTCCTCCTGTTCTTCAAACAGCTTTGGACTAAGGGATGGTGATTCAGAAAATGACCAATGATGCATTTAGTCGGGGTAGTAATCTGTTTTTTAAATATTATTTTCAATGAGCTTCTAAAATATGTTAAGGTCTCTTTTTTCTCTTCTTTCTCACATCTCCTAGGAAACATTACACTAAACAGATACCTAAATGTCTTACAACTTGGAGTAGTCTTGTTGCTGCCATTCACTTCACGCACAGTACAACGACTGTAATTACTAGCAGATTGTCCTAATTCTGCATGTTCCGGTTTAGCATGTGTGAGGTCTGAATCACCTAAAACTATAATTTCAACTTAGCTTGTGATTTTAATGTAGACAATCCAAGACTCTTTTTGCCAAAATGCTTTTGGTTTCTTGTGAGCTATTATCCCTTGCTTATTTTGCTTTTATGTATATATATTTTTTTTTTTTTCATATAAAATATTTAAACATGTTTCACTGTCCTGTTCTTATGTTTGGTATATGTCAGAGGATGGCAGTTGTGCCTATATTTGGCTATGGATATCTGAAGTTTTTATGTACTTGATGTTCATATTCACAACTTGAAAGCATCTGTAAAGTCTGTTCAGCTTCTGTTCAGAAGTTTATTTTTCTCCCTGGACTGCTTCACTGAGAGGGAGGATCTGTCCTAGCTGTCATACTGGTATACAGCAAGTGTGTTTGTCTTGGAGCAATTTTACTGATATTCTTAGTCTTCTGGTGATCAGATGTGCCAGCAAAGTGACACGTTTATTCTGGACAGAGTTAGGAGCATAATTCACTGTTTTAGTGCAGTCTTGAGTGACAGATCATCAGAGGTGGTGGTGGTGGTGGTCTGAAGTGCTTCTGGTTCTGCTTATCTGGAAAGAAAGATAAGACAAAAGAAAGATGTTGCCATGACAGCAGCGACTATTCCTGAAACATTATCTGTGAGCCAAGCAGGGCAGCCACACGCTGACCGAATTGAGCTGGGCTTGTTTAGGCATGCTTTCTTGGTGTCTGCAGGACAGGCTGGAAACATGACCTGCAACTGGAAAGGAGGGGATTGTTTCTTGAATGCTGATCCGTAGAGATTTGTTTAGCTATTTTTTTTTTTTTTAAAAAAAAAGGTATGGTTGGTTTTCAGTACAGATATGTTTTACTGGTGGAGAAACACAGAAGACTGGGTTGTGGTTTGCCCATCCTTTTGCTAAAATGGAAGCACAAAATAAATG